CATAGAACCCTAATGATATTATTATCCCCCCAACAACACTGCATGCACCAAATTTTCAGTTCGTATGGTTTCATATTATTAATCCTTCTTCAATTTCAAGTCAAACGTATAAAAAAACTATAAGCACTACAAAAAAAATCAGGTTTATAGGACGCATAAAATGTCCAAATGTCCTAATACACTATATTAAAGGACTTGAGTTTATAGAAGCATATCTTATTTAAAGTTGTAACAAGTTTATATGACGCCCAAAAAGCTTTTCTGGACACGTTTTGCAACAAAGTGTCCTATAACAAGTGTCCTATTAGCTTTTTTATAGGACACTATTTGAAAAGTGTCTTATAAATCCAGCGTCCTATAAAAAATATGTGTTTACAGGAGACTTCAAAGAGATGTTCTATAAAAATGTCCTAAAAAACTTGTTAAAACACACAAAAGCGTCTTATAAACTTATTATAACACCTTTAGATAGGATACACAAAGGTTTGGTCCTATAAAATTAAATCCTATGAACTGGTCTATTAGGATACTGAAAACACTTTTGGCTTCCTATAAACTCAACTTTGTTGGAGTGAAGGGTGCGTTTGATACACGKGAGATGACAAAGCAACAGCTTGTTCTCCCATGTTTGGTGCAAAATTAGGGCAGAACAATACAAGATTTTTGTCCCACAAAAATCAGGTACACAGGGCAAGAACGGACTGAACGGAAAATTATTAAACTACATGTGTCAAATTAAAACTCTGAAACCTTCCACAACACTTTCACCCGCCTATCTCGCTCTCGTACGTTCAGTCTTGTCCAATACCATTGTGTACCGAACGCACCCTAAAGTGACAAAGTTTCCAAGTTGTCTACGCTAGAGAGAGAGACAGAGAGGAAGAACCTTCCAAGATGGAGAGAATCTCCGAGGAAGATGGCACCCATCCCAACCGCAATTACAATTGATAATGGCTTGAACATGGCTACATAAACCGGGCCGACCGCAGAGCCCATACTTGAATGAGACCATTCAGAAATCCTGTAGATATGCCCTATACACACAAAAAAAACACTCTCAGAAAAGAAAATTTTATAGCTAAGAAGGCTACCCATATTCATGCAAAAAGTTTCTTACCATGTAAATAATAGAAGCCAACATCATATCAGGTTTTAGATTCCAAGCATCTAAATCTCTCACCATAATTAACCCTGCAAACGCAGCTACAATCAACCCACTTAATCCAAATACAAAAACGACCATTAGTTCCACCGGATATTCCATCATGATGTGTGCCTGAAAGGTCACTGAAAACACTCAAAAAGTTCCCTAAATATGCTAGCATTCTGAAAATTTGAACTAAGGATGGGTAATTTTGGTACCTGGGAAACCAAAACAAATGAAAGTAAGAAGTTCTGACTTGCAAGTAAAATCCCACCAATAATCCAATATAAGCTCGAGGAATCTGATGATACGGTAACTGATGTACCATTATATAGTGTTGCTACAAGTGCTCCCGATATTGACACTATTGTTCCCACAATTTTTGCTTGACTGGTATAGCTTCGCAAATTCAATTTCTCCATCCTGATAGACCAAAAAGATACATGATTCTAGATCACAAGTAAAAGGAGACTTGAAGCCAATATTTTCTCTTCTTTCAAGTCAGATGATCATCATTTTGAACATATAAATCTATGTGTTTCTCTTGAACAAAGGCTACAATATATGAGTACCTGAAAAAGAATGCAAGTATGAAGGTGAAAGCAGGTGCCAGATTGCTCATAACTGAAGAAAGTGTTGGAGAACTGTACTTGATACCAATGTATCCAAATATCTGAGACAAGTACCTGGTATTTACAGCATTTGAATCAATGACATTGTTGATTGATTGTAACTAATAGCAATAAAAACACAAAAAATGATCAGGATTCATTGAAATTGAGGAGAGGTGTGATTTTAATGCTTAAAATAGATTAGGGTTCCATCTACCCTTAGGCATTAGTAGAAATTCCTCCGTCCTAATCAGATTGAAAAAGTCAAGATAACAAATTCAATAATTTCTACATATGTTAAGACCGAATTCAAGATGAATTACCCTATCAAGCTAAGAAGGAAAAGCTTGATAACGATGGAGAATTTCAGCCCCTGGTTGTTTGAACTTCTGCAAAAGAAATTGAAACACGAAGTTGAATTGGAAATAGGGGGATCTTGCATAATACCAAGTGATGAAACGATTAAAAATGAAAATTGCCTGCGGATGAAGAATGGACAAGGTAAGAGGAAAAGGAAGCCGACGAGGAAGACGTAAGTGGTGAAGACGTATGAGTTGATTCCTTGAGCAGTGGCTGATTTGAATAATGTATTTCCGCCTACAATAATGCACTCGACCATCACCATTGCTGTGAATGGCAATACATCACTATAGCAAGTTCTACCGGTAGAACCCATCTTCTCCTCGATCTCTGCAACTGAAGATGGCAGATTTTGACAACCGGGTATCAGAGAAATCCTTCACCTACCTCCTTTCTTACCAATCTGATGAGTAGAAGCATCGAAGCAGTCCCAATCTAGCGCAGGTTTATGCTACTACGAAATACTTTGATGTGCAGATGGAGGTCTATCCAATTATTTTCAATTTTAGTCGTTGATGGTAACTGGTGGTTTGACTTTCTTTCTATTGAACAAAAACGGTTGCCCCATTTTCGGTTGTGGTTTAATCGGCTGTATAAGTCAAATCGCTTATTCGCATAGCCATATCTAATTATTCGGTATGGGTTTATCCGGTCCGTCCATATCTGAATCTCTCGGCTACAAAACTTATGTCCTTTGTATTCGGTCATTAAATTCCCCCAACTACTCTTGTCCCTCAACGCTCCATCACCGCTACCTCCCTCAACACTCCATTGAGTTTGCCTCTCACCATTCATCAGAGGTTTTTGATTTATTTGTGTTTCCAACAGTGAAGGGTCAGATTTCGATAGAGGAGGTTTATAGTTCGACGGAGGAGGTTCCAACATATGAGGTTTTTGATTTCCCCTTGATTTCTTTGTGTTTCTGGTAATGAAAGGCAGAGGAGGTTTTTGTTTTCGTCTTCACGAATTTGCTTTTCGACGAAGAAAAACCACTGTACATCAACTCACCTTCCTTCAACTCGAGCTTCTGTTGAGATATGTAGCCATTGATTTTATCCCGACCACCGGTTTTTCACACACTTTATTCTCCATCAACTTTTGAACCAAACAACCTCGTCGCTCATCAAAATCATCTAAAAAACAACTAGGTCCTCCAAAATTCGTTTTTTTACAAACAGTCAATTGTTCATCATCTCGTTCATCAATTGTGGTTTTCGATTGTTCTTCTAGRTTGTCGATTTRTGTGGAGTTTCAGCGAGCARGAGGAAGTTGCTTGGTGGTGGAATTAAGGAGTTCCTCCCGACAGTTCAAAAAAACTGGCGATGTTTACTTGAATGGAAAGAGGAACTATATGTMGATKATGGTGTTTGGTGTGGTGTAAGATGTGTGGATCTGTTGTATGAAGTATATAAAGGCATAATAAAAGTAAAATATAGAGGGGGTAAAATGGTCATTTATGACATTTGGACTGTTTATTCAGTCCAACAACTGAACAACAACTTATCAATTAACATACAGACAACTATATCCATACAAGTTTTAACAAAAAAACGAACCGAATAACCCTTTACTACTGTTGCTTAATCTGAAAATACATTAAACTACACATGGCTAACCTTCAAGTTTCTCAGTGGAATTAGCTAGTATATCAATTACCTAATATACACCAAAATGGTTTCATGAGCAGACCATTTTCAAGCATTCCTTGTCGTGTTTCTTTCATGTGGCCGTTTTTGCTTCCGCTCAAGGCCGCAACTACATTTCGGTTTATGTTCGAGCCACAAATTGGTTCCCTTTTCAAGACCATAAACGTACATGGCCATTGGGTGATCAGACTTGGACACGGGAGTTTCGACTACTAACGACCCCACACAGTTGTGTTTCAGCAGAATACAACCACTTGTTCATATTTTCGAATCGTCAAGACTCATTTTCGAATCGTCAAGACTCTGAATATTATCGTTTTTATCCATAACATACGTTTTATGTTTTTAGAAGATTATCTATTATCCGATCAACTAATCGGCTCAATAAACACGTATATATATCTCAAATCAGTAGTGTAATATAGAACCAAGAATCATAAGTATCCTCGCCTCAACATTATTGCGATTGAATCTTGATTTTGAACACCGCCCTCTACCCATTTTCTCATTCTTTGCTGCCTTTTTCTCTCAGATTCTTGTATCTCTCTCGCTTTCTTCTCGAGAACAAACAAAATGCAAAATGTCGGTGACTTATGCCATTTTATCTCCTCCATTTATATCATTGGCAAACTAAGTCCACGGCTTAGTTTTTGGTTAATATACACTTAAATGGAAACGAGATCATCTTCTATATATAATTAACCCCAAATTGGTCATTTTCTTTACATATAAAATGGTTAAGAAACAATAACATAAAAAGAATGTAAACAATAACCCAAGTTTTTGTTTAGGCATCTGGTTTTTTATTAGAACATGTGATTGGACAAGAACTTTTGTCCCATAATGAAGGTTCCTATGGAAACCCCAAAAAAAGAACCTCAAGAATAGTAGTAGGGGGCCCAAGTTTATTTTGTATACAATAGTAGTAGCTCAAAGATTGATGGTACTGAATTTTTTTATCTAACCCTAAAATTTTAAAACTGATGAAAAAATTAACATAAGGCGAGATGGAAACTCAACTGATTTGTATTGATCTACATAGAGTATTGCTTTGAATAGTTAACATTGTGATCCTAAATGATATCAATCTATATATTAAAGTTATATCATAGAATGTTTTTGATGGAGGAACGGGTTGATGATGCTATATAAAAATGATATGTTTGATAATATTAATTTAGAAATAATTATTGATTGATTTTGCATCTAGAGATATACATAAACATGGTTTTATATGAGCGATTAGTATTTTTGAATTTAATGTTATTTTTAATGATAAAAACAACATATGAATATTCTTTTTGTACATATCAAGGACCTTTTTTATATCTTGTTCAAAACCTATAAAATGTCAGGAACATATCTGCTTAATAAGAACCTTCATTATAAATGTTGTAATGTTTTATACCTTCTATTAATTAATATCATTTTCCTACCATTTTAATCTGACGAAAATGAATAATAACAACTAATATGTTAACATATATCCCAAATTATAAAAAGGAAATGCATATTACAATTAATTAAAATAAAAATAAATACTCTTCTTGATTTATACTTAATTATAATAATTATATCCTTGAAAATATACTTATTAAATTGATAATTTTAATGTAATTAGTTCAAAGGGGGTAAACTGGAAATTTGGGAAGCTGAGGGGTCCATCTTGAAATCTCAAAGAATAAAAGCAAATTAGGTGATTCACATTAAGAATCTCGGCCAAATCTAATCGACCCACACCATCTATATATGTTGTCTTGTAACCAATTAGGAGATCATATGTGACTTAAGAATATGTGTTAAAAACAATTCGAGTGTAAGAAGGGTTAAAGTGAGAAACATAAGAATGTATCTGGATACTTGATCATTTTTAATTTCAAACCCACCCATGAGCAGCGATTGATACGGAGATTGATCTTGTGCATTTCAGTGTATCTTATCTCGGTGCATCTCATTATAATGTGCATCTAAGGATGAAGATCCCTTCCTATTACCTTAACTCTCCTTCTTACCGGAACCCAATCCTATTATAGGTGGGGCGTGTGAATTAAGCTAAGGATGTAACTCATAACAAAAGAGAAGACCCGAAACACGACTTACCAAAAAAGGAAACATGGGATCATAAAGAAAGCTACTAAATTCACAGTTCTTTGTGATGTTGATACAATTATCGTCATCTACTATAACCAGTCGGAAAACCCTACTAAATCAAGAAGACGATCGCCTCTTACAAAGTGAAAAAGAGTGAAACCGGGAAGAGAACTTATGACCTCAATGACTTCTTCTCAGGACCAAAAGAAAAATATTGAAGACGAGCTTGTCAAGGCCCGAAAAAGAAACATGAAAACCAAGTACTCAACTTGGTTCGATGAGCTTAATGGGTTATCGGAGGGGCAATTGAGAGAATTTGCTACCGGATTGGAAACGAGGAGACTATTTTAAGAAGCCAGATCGAATTCAAGAAGAAAAACATCAACGTCCAAATGCCAACGCCATTCTCATTTATTCACCATGTGACTTTGTACCCGAGTCTTGATCAAGTTTAAGTGGTTTACCAGCATTTGATAAACCATGGTCTTAGGTGGTTCAGTTATCTGGTTTTTGAGGGTGGTAAGGTTTACGATAACCCGAACCCATTGGCTGTTCAGCAGGTGGTGCAATGCGGTCTTATGCCGAAGTTGGTATTGCAGCTTCACAAGGGAATCATGATCATGTGTATGATGATGTTGGGGATTTTGTGATGAATGCTCATCGAGGAGGGTTTATGGCTTAATTAATTAAGCTGGTAATTCTTGTAATAGTTTTTTAAAGCGTTAAAACTTCGTTAATTGGAGATAATGGTTTGAATTTTGTTCCGATTTTTAAGGGGTGGAAATCATAACTTTAAAAGTTTTGAGGCCACTCTGTAAATTTCAAAAACTTTCAGAACACATGAATAACTCCAAGTCCAACTATCAAGTCCAAGTTGATGATCCGAAACTAACTTCAACTGGTGAATGGTGATGGTCCTGTCGACCAGGCCCAAGAAAAGCCCAAACCCAGATGTTAAAAGAATGTTAGTTATATAGAATATTTAGTTTTTTAAAATTATTACAAGGATATCTTTTAATACAATTAATTCATATTCTTTTTTTTTTTAAAGTAGAAAAGTTCAAAAAAATCAACTAATTTTTATTTATTTCAAATGATTTAATCTTTAAATATTTTTTTAATGAAAAAACATTGAATTTTTTCATTTTAAATATTTAATTATCTGAATTATTTTTTTAAATGAAAAATCATTAAACTTTCTTATTTTGAATGAATAAGTGCATGAACATTTTTTTAATTGATAAACCATTGCATTTTTAATATTGAATTACTTGTATCATTTTAACCCAAAAAAAGTTACATTTAACCGATTAGCAAAAGTTCGATAGCTTATTTATCAAAAAAATCAAAGTTTTAATCAGTCAAAATAAGAAAATTTAATAATTTTTTCATTAGAAAAAATAATTTAGCGACTTAATCATTCAGAATAAAAAAGTTCAATAATTTTTTATTTTAATAATCAAACATAAAGAAAAGATAAAGAAGATATACAAATAAAAAAATGATATTTATCCAATATTTTTAATTTCATACGTCTTTTTATTAGATATTAATCAAATGGGTATGACTTAATAATGTTTATGATCCATAGCTTTTTTGGAAAAAAATAATTTAAAACGGAAAGGTTGAATGAGCTTTTTTGGAAAAAATAATTTAAAAAAGGAAAAGATA